GGAAATGAGTGTGAGATTGGAGGGCAGTGGGGGGGAGAGAGCTAAATTCTCAGAGGCCAACAGATAATTCCTAAAACTGAAATATAAGGACATGGTGATTTGAGAATGACCTTGAACTATGAAGATCAATGATCAATAGCAAAACAATCAGCTTAATATAATGGAAAATGGGTGCTTCTGCAGAATGGGAAATTGGGTGAAAAGAAAGAATATCTAGGGGAGTAAAGAATTCAAAAGATGTTTTGGCCATTTAACTCTTTATGTGTATGTGTGTGTATACACAAATAAACATGAAAATTTAAAAAGGGAAACAAAAATTTTTGCCACCCTTCCCCTGAACTCCATACAGCAACTTTTAATTGAGGGCCAGAGAATACTATGTTTATTTTTCTTTGAGTGGGTCTCACGGCTCTTGCTATGATACAGTGTTAATTCTAAACTGCTCAAAGAGAAAGAAACTTGCCCTTAGGCAAATCAGCATTTTGCCCTGGGATTGAGAAAGGTCTTTCCTACTGTGGGGGGACCCAACTAATTCACATTTAGAGTCACCCAGGGCATCATCTGCCCTGTGAGGCTCTGTTAAGCAGGGACATTCCAATCTCCCTCTCTTGCTCCCCACATCACACTCAAGTATCTATCTATTCAAGTGATAGCTGGGCTTATATGTAATCTCTCCCAGTTAGGTTGTGAGTATGTAAGGCATAATGCTTTATTTAGAGATACCAATAAATAAAATATATGCATGAAAAATGTATAACCTCACTTCATATAAAATTAGACAACTGGCATTGAGTGGATTGTCCATTTTTAATAGTAATAATGTTTCTAATAGTAATAATAATTAAATAGGGCCCTCCTGAGGACCTTTAACCTTCTAGAATGTCTCAGAAGCAGACTGGCATGAGAACAGCCCTGGGTTGTAAATGATAGATGTGGCATCCTTGCCTTAATGGTCTGACCAGCACACCAGTGCCTCAGATGTGAGTCTTGTTCTTAAGCCATGGACAAGAGAGCTATTCTTACTGTATTGACTTGGTATAACTATATTTTTAAGCTCAAAATTAAGTTAGTTTCCTGAGAAAGGCATCTCTTACTCTTCATGCATGACCTCTGGTTCATTGTGGACCAGAAAATAGAGCTGAGCCAGGACTGCCATAGAGGCTTATCGAGTTAGAGTCAGACTCGCTGGGAACAGGGGAGCCAGCCCGGGCCCTGGGAGGCTGGTTCTGAGAACACTCGGTGTTGCAGGAAGCAGGAGATTTGACCCTCTTGTGTATGAGCTTATTTATGAGCTTCCAAGGGCTGTCTGCATTATTCAGGCTTTGACTACTTTTGCTTTTATTTCACTTCTTTTGTTCAGATGGATACCACTCCCTGGTACTTTTCTAGAACTGGCAGTGCTCTTTCCAATCCTCATTTATAATTCTTCTCAGGTGGAACTTTGTCCTCAGTGTCTTGGGCAGCCATAGTCAGCCCTGGTGGACAGACTACTGAAGATTTCCTTCCCTCACATCTAGATCCATACCTTTCTCTCTGATTTTTTGCCCTCTCAGTCTTCAGCTAAGCCTGAGTAAGATCATTTGAAAGAAATTATTGTGGCCTCTCCATACAATGAGACAGTATTCATCAACAAAATGGATTGAACCATTGATACAACAACATGGATGCATCTCAAGGGCATTTTGCTGAGTGTAAAAAGCCAATCTCAAAAGGTCACATACTGCATGATTCCATTTATATAATGTTTTTGAAATGGCATAATTAAAGAGAAGAGACTCGTGGTTCCCCGGAGGGAGCGTGGGTATAAAGGGGGAGCACAAGAGAGATTTCTACAGTGATGGGACAGTTTTGTTTTCTGAATGGGGAGCTGCTTACATGAACATACACAGGTGATAAAATGGCACAGTTATGCACATACTTCATAGCAGTGTAAATCTTCTGGTTTTGACATTGTCCTCTACTTCTATAAGATGTAACCAATGGGGAAGTGGGGTGATGGGTATACAGGATCTCTTTGTACTATCTTTGCAGCTTTCTGTGAATTTATACTTATTTCAGAAAAAATGTTTTTTCCCTTAAAAAAAGGAATGAAGTATTCATAATGCAACAATATGGATGAATCTCAAAATAATTACGCTGAGTATAAGAAACTAGGCAAAAAAGTACAAAGGAAAAATATAGATGAATTGTGCTACCTCAAAACTAAAAATGTTTATGTGCAAATACCATCAAGGGGGTATTATGCTAAGCGAAATAAGTCAATCAGAGAAAGACAAGTATATGATCTCACTGATATGAGGAATTCTTAATCTCAGGAAACAAACTGAGGGTTGCTGGAGTGGTGGGGGGTGGGAGCGATGAGGTGGCTGGGTGATAGACATTGGGGAGGGTATGTGCTATGGTGAGCACTAATGAAGGGGGGGAATCGGAGGGGGAGATGAACCATGAGACTATGGACTGAGAAACAAACAGGGTTTTAGAGGAGAGGGAGGTGGGGGGATGGGTTAGCTTGGTGATGGGTATTAAGGTATTAACGTATTGCATGGAGCACTGGGTGTTATACGCAAGCAATGAATCATGGAACACTACATAAAAAAATTTAAAAAAATAAAAATTAAAAAAATTAAAAATTAAAAAAAAATTTTAAAAGAATGTGAAAAGACAAAAAAAAAAAAAAGAAAAGTGAAAAGACAACCCACGTGGTGTGCGAAAGTATTTGCAAATCAGAACTGTCTGATAAAGGGTTTATATCCAGAATATATAAAGAACACTTACAACGCAATAATAAAATGACAGCCCAACTGAGAAATAGGCAAGATTTAAGTGGGCATTTCTTCAAAGAATAGATAAGAATGACCAATAAGCACACGAAAAGATGCTCAACATCATTAGCCATCAGGAAATTGCATATCCAAACTAGGATGAGATAGCTGTTCTCACTCCTTAGGAGGGCAGTAATCAAAAAGACAGATAATAACAAGTGTTGTTGGGGTGTTGGAGATATTTGGAACTCTCATACACTGCTGATGGGAACAGAACAAGGTGCAGTGGCTTTGGAAGACAGTTCCTCAAAATGTTAAACATAGTTACCAGATGACCCAGCAATTCCACTCCTAGGCATCTACCCAAGAGAACTGAAAGCATGTTCATGCAAAAACTTGTTCATGACACTTCATAACAGCATGATTCATAATAGCCAAGAAGTAAATGACCCAAATGACCATGAACTGATGAATGGATAAATGAAATGTGGATTATCGATATTGTTGAACATTATTTATTCAACAATAAAGGGGAATGAAGTAACAAAACATGCTGCAACATGGATGAACCTTGAAAACATTGTGTTAAATGAAAGGAGCAAGTTGTAGAAGTTCATATATTGTATGATTTAATTTATATGAGATGTCCAGAGTAGGCAAACCTATAGAAACAGAAAGCAGATTACTTGTTGCCGAGGGCTAGGGAATGGGGGTGGAGTGGGGAATGACTGAGAGTGGGTAGGGGGTTTCTTTGGGAGGGGGATGGAAATACTCTAAACTTAGACATAGTAATGGTTGCACAACTCTGAAAATATAATAAAAATCACTGAATTGTACACCTTTAAATGGATATATTTCATGGTGTATGAATTATATCTAAATAAAATGTTTAAAAAGAGTACATACTGTATGATTACATTTATAGAACATTCTTGAAAATGCAGACTAACCTATGGTGACAGAAAATATTAACAATCACTTGGGAACAAGAAGAAGTGTAAAGGGACATGACAAAACATTTTGGAAAGTGATGGAAGTGATGGAAGTGTTCACTGACTTGACTGTGTGATGGTTTTGTGGGTGTATACATATTTCAGAGTTTATCAGATTGTATACTTTAAGGGTGCCGTTTATTATATGTCAACAATCACTCAATTAAAAAAAGCAAAAACATGTGTGAGCTTCACAAATAATAATATATGTATTATTTATTAAAAAATAATTTGACACATATTTATTGGGTACTGGTGTAGTGTTAGCTCCTGGGGATACAATGGCAAGGAAAAGATGGGTCCAGCCTTCAAGCAGCTCATACAGGCACAAGCAAAGGAAGATGCATATGGTTGCAAAATGGTTTATATACCATTTCGAGCCTAGGAAGTCATGGTCACCTTCATGGGGAGGATTTCTGGAAGTGACAAATGGGAGTTAGAGGTAGAGGGTGGGGTTTGTGATGACATAGTGGGCCTCCTTCCTGACACTAGTTTAGGATGAGCTGTAGTAAGTACTTGTTACATCTCAGAGGTCCTTGATTTTATTTTTGCCACATACCGTCATGCTCTTCTCCCCAGGAGCCACATCACGGTGGAGTGAATTGTTGTACTTACATGGACCTTAACAATAAGTGTGAAGCCAAGTTATAAATAACATCCTTCATCGCTCTTGGCAGACTTGCTATTATTTCGTTACTTGTGATGATGTATTCAAGGTCCGTCCTTCCACTACATTGTGTGCAGTATGAGAGCCAGGACTGAGTGTTTCCTACACCATCCTGTCCTCGGCAGGTAGCGTAGTTCTTTGCACGTTAGCAGGGCTTGAAAAAGATTACTTGCTGATAGGTTAGGAACTGGGCTGATACAGAATAACACATTTGACTGGTGGCCTCAGGCATGGCTCAAACTTTTTGTGGCAAGAAGTATAAAGCGGTCTCACTGCTCATGTTTCTCCGCCCACCCCTCCACCCCCTGGCCACTGCCCTCTGCCTCTTAGCTCTGGCCGCAGTCATGCTAGTTCCCGTCCACCCTAGCCCCGCCTACCACCTGTTTGTCCTAGTGGCCTGCTGTCAGGTGCCTCTTTAATTGGGTCCACTCCCAGAGGCTGCTGGGTGAGGTTCTTCTGAAGAGGTCAGGACAGTCTGTCCTGGAGAGGGCAGCTCTGGCCATTGGCCTGCTCTGGGCCAGTTGGGCATTCTTGGGCCCTGGCTGAAGGCCCACTAATGTGTTGTCTCCTCCTCCTCAGCGCTTCTGTATGCCACCATCTTCGGGAATGTGACGACCATTTTCCAGCAGATGTATGCCAACACCAACCGGTACCATGAGATGCTCAACAGCGTTCGGGACTTCCTGAAACTCTACCAGGTGCCAAAGGGCTTGAGTGAGCGAGTCATGGATTATATCGTGTCCACCTGGTCCATGTCCAGAGGCATCGACACTGAGAAGGTAAGGAGGGCGATAAACTCAGGTGAGCCCTGTGTCGGCTTTCCCAGGGAGAACTGAGGCACTCCTAGGGCAAGGGGTTCTCAAACCTGGCTGTGCATCAGAATTCATTTGGGTAGTTTGGGGTTCCCACATCCTACCTCCAGAGGTTTTGGTGGCTTCCAGATTGGCTTGGTCCTTAAGAGCCATTATTTAAGAAACTGGAAAGACAGTCTGTGTCTCCTGGAGAAGAGAAGCATTAGAAGTCTAACTGTCTGGAGCAGAATTTCCCAGACTTGTGTGATGATAAGGCTCAGGGCCATCCTGGGGGGAAGTCATCGTCATGGCTGATTTTCCTTTGGCCTCAGGCTCTGAGATGGTACAGCATAGCCACAGGTCTGTTTTTTTTCAAATTTTCGATATTTTGTTCATCGGGGATTTTTTTGCATGAATTTTTATTTTTAAAAATACTGTATTAAACTATAATTTGTCCTGATTACTGAGTTTTTAGCCCAAGGCTGTTGCCTCACTGTAGTCTCAGCTCTGATAAGATTCCCAGGATTCGTGGTCATTAAACACAGATTCCCAGCCTCTATCCCAGATGTATGGAATCCAGATTTAGAGGAGGGGGAGGTGTGAGGAAAAAACCTGCATTTTTAACAAGTGCCCCAGTGATCCTATTCATCAGACAAGTCTGGTGAATACTGTTCGAGGGCTTGTGTCTTACTCCTCATTGGCTTGAGGAAAACATCAGTTAGACATCTCTCTAAGGCTAAGGTATCAGTTTTCCCATCTGTAAAATGGGAACAGCCATAAATTCCTATTGTTCTCTAAGAGTTGCATTATTCTAGATGAATTTCAATAAAGTGAAGAAACTTTGGGGGCTGGGAAGAACAGAGAAAAGATACAGTGGACTTCCTATTCACTTCTCAGTTATCTCCTGTGTATATTTTCTATAAGCAAACATGTTTTCCTGGATCTGTTTTTCTCTGCTTCTCAGTGTTTTCCACCCCACTTCTCCTTTTACTGCCAATCTCTAAGTACTTGGGGAATTCTGATTCCTTTCATTGTCAGAATAAGAAAAACAGAAAGATAATGCTGTTGCAAAAATATAACACATTCAAAGCCAAGTTCAGCTGACTTTGGATCAGCTGTCCTTGCTCTTACTCTTCCTCCATTAGAATAGTTAGCTGAGAGTTGACAGTTTAAAAGAAAAACTTGAACTCAATTTAATTGATTCCCACTTAAAAGGAACGATAATTCAGTTTTGTTGAAAACCGGCCATAATCACAACAGTAACATACTAAGCTCGCCACCGTAGCCCCAGGTACCATGCCTTGAACGCACATTAGGAACAGATACTTATCGCGCTCTCTGTGTGCTGGCCCCGCATTCATGCTTCAGTGATGCTCCATGGCAACTCTGAGAGGGAGCCGCTGTTATTTCGACGCAAGAGACGAGGACACAGAGGCCCAGTTTGTTTTGTTAACTGCCTGTGGTCATTGAATTAAGAATGGCAAAGTCAGGATTTGAATCTGGTTTTGTCTGACTTGGAAGCTTGTGCTTCTCCTACTATTACTTTTTTTTTTTTTTTTTTTAATTTAAAACATGTACTGGAGGGAAGAAGGATGAGAAGATGAGTCCAGATGGAGTTGCCCTCATTTCTCACCCGGGCAGGGCGTCAGTCGGGTGGGTCTGAGTCCCTGGCTTCGCCAACCTCCTGCTATAACTGTGTCTGGTGCTTTTGCTTCATTCAGCGAGGCACGTAGGTTCTGTGGGTGCCTGGCCGCTGCTGGAGCAGAAAGCAACTTTGATCTCTCAGCCCTGGAGATTTTCCCAGGAGCCAGGGTAGATTTGTAAATCTGGTTTTCTGGAAAGAAGCCCTTCCCCACCCCACTGCAGGGCTGGGCTGGGTGGCTGCCCATGGGAGACAGCACTGGCAGTGTTTGCCCGCCCTGCCCCTCCCTGCTGCCTCACTTTCCTGAGAGGCTTTGGGATTTGCCCCAGGTACTGGCCTTGGTGGAAGAGGGAATACTGTGACAATTCACTGCAGGGCCCAGCCTAGCCTGGGTGGTTGCTCTTCCTGGCAGAGGCTTGGGGCAGGCAGCTGCTGGGGAAGGGTCCAGTCCCGTGGTCCCCTCCATCCTGGGTCAGAATGGTCAGGGATGACCATGGGAGCCTAAGGGTGTGTGTCTGGGGGAGGGAGAGGCGGTGCTGGGCTCCTCTCATTTGACCGGCAATTAGCTGGTGACCATGAGCATGTCGCCTGTTCCTCTGAGCCTCAGTTTCCATGTCTGTAACACATGGACCCTAGGTGCTTTTTAGTACTAAGGCCAACCTCCTAGGCCCCCTCATCTATGGCCTTCTGGACTTCAGAGCCTCCCTCAGCCTGACCCACTGCTCCGCTGTGCTAACAACATCAGAAGTGAAAGCTCACATGCACTGAGCACTCGTGTGTGCTAGGCGTTGCCCCAGCACTTTCCACATACCAGTTCACGGAATCCTCAGAAGAATTCTGTACTCACATTCAAAGCTGAAGACTTGGGAAAAGAAGCTAAGTACGGCTTCAAGTTCGCAGGAATAGTAAACATTAAAGTCAGGAATTGAATCCGGGTCTGCCTGATTTTAAAGTCTATTCTCTCAACCATGTGTCCGTCCTGTCCAGCCTGGGGAGTTTCCATGAGCCTCCATGATGACATTTCCCTGTGGCCTTTGAGGTCCTGAAGAACCAGCAGAGATGATCTCTCCTCAGGACCTAACAGAAGGGAAGGTGCCCAGGAAGGGGTTTGCAGCTGAGAAGCATTCAGCTCAGAGAGAAGGATTCAGGACCCCCTAAGCTGCCCAGTGTGGAGCCAATAGGAGAATGATGGAGGTGCCTGATGGCCATGGCAGACCAGGTTGTTCGACCCCCAGCTTCCCTCTCCTCACACGTGCTTTCCAGTGGATCCAGGAACAGGGCCAATGAGTAAAACGTTGTCTCCATGCCAAGGCCTCGTTCACTAGTGGCCTCTGCCAGCAAAGCCCAGCCCAGGGGAAACCAAATATTGAAAGGTGAACTTACCTGGAGAACAAATGTTGGTTTTGAACTGCTGGGTACTGTTTTGACATGACATGGAAGTGTTCTCCAATCCCTAGTGTTCTGCTTGGGGAGAAAGGATCCAAATTCAGTCTGCATTTCTACAGGAGTCTTGTTTTTCAATGAGCGGGAAGGAGGGAAACACTTAGCAAGTGCTCAGTCTAAGCTTTGGCTGTCTGAATTCTCCTGTGCCTCGGTCAGTGCTCCGTCCCCTCTCGAAGAGATCCTGCTTACTTCCTCAGCATCCCGCCACCCCAGAACGAGCAGGAAGAGGCACACAGAGCATGGGGACCAGTGTGTACGGAGCCCCTTTCCCGGGTCCTGGCACTGTCCCTGGGGAAACGTACCGGTACATGTCATTTCACTTAATCCCCCCGAGCCGGTGTGAGCAGTGTGCATTTTATAGGAGAAACTCAAGTGTAGAGTCGTTAGGCCACTTGGAGGGGAAGGAGCTGGGATTTCGACTGTTGGACCTCTTCTGTCCACGGACTCGCCTCCATGCAGAGCCCAAGGGTGCCTGTGAGGGTGGGGTACGAGCAGCATGGTCACAGGCAAGGTGAGACTTGCACAGAGTTTTGAAGGAGGCTGAGAAACGTCCAGATTCCAAGGTGAACTCCAGGCGCAGAAGCAGATGGCCTGCGTGAAGCAGAGAAGCAAGGGTGCAGGGGAAACCAGCACCCCAAGGAAATGTCTTCATTGAACATGTTTGATTTTATGCCCCCAGCTTTGCTCGCTAGGGTAGGATGGGACAAAGGATTATTTTAAGAACACTCCTAATTTCTCTGGAAAATTCCACTTGAAGGTGTCCTACGTGTTACTTAATGCTTGCTATGGGAGGGGCCATGCAATGGTTTCTTGTAAAAATTTAATCCAGGGAACTATTTCTCCCCCTAGAAAAGGCTAAGAAATTTTCCTTTTTTGAAAGATAAGACCCATGTGACCTCTTACAGTTCTCACTGTGCCCTGAGTTTCTAGATGCTAAGAGTGGAATTACAAGTACCTTTGTTTTGGGCAGCCGCATAATGTAGGAAATGGTTAGTATCTAAACTCTGGCTCTGACTCAGACTACCTAGTTTGAGAGCCTAGCTCTGCCATTTTCTGGCTGTGCAACTTTGGGGAAGTTATTTATCTTCCCTGTGCCTCCCAGTTCCCTTATCTGTAAGATGGTAGCAGACTAGCACTTACATCAGCGGGTTATGTGAGGATTGAATTAGCTATTCAGTGCACATAACAATAATGTAAAATCATTGCTAAATTTCACTTATTTTGCTTATGATTTGTCTCCTCCCACGAGATGGTAAGTTACACAAGGGCAAGGGTTTTTGTCTCTACTGTTCATGGCTACATCTTCAGAGCTGAGAATGATTCCTGGTATATCACAAGTGCTCAGTAAATAAATATGAAATGAATGAATGACTTCAAAGCACTTAGCAATGACTGGCACAGAGTAAGTGCTCACTAAATGTTACTGTATCACTCTCTTTAAGCCACACACATATTCAGACCATCAACAGTGTGAGCTCCACCTTCAAAATACATCCTGAATCGGACCTTTCCTCACTGCGTCCCAGTTCAGGTCCCCTCACTGCTCACTGAGCTGCCTGCAGGAGTGACCTAACCCAATTCCTTGGCTTCATCCTTGCCACCTTATAGTCAGGGCCCCCGAACTCAACTCTCTAGCTGTGGTGATCCTCTTCAAAGATAGCCTAGTCTTGTCCCTCCCCTGCTCACTATCCTCCAGTGTGTCCCCATCACACTCAGAATAAAATCAAAGGCTTTTCATAACCTAAGGTCTCTACGTGCGTGCGTACTTGGCATTCTCCCGAAACTTCATCTCCTATCCCGTGCCTCTCTTTCACATTGGTTCTTGCTCGGGTCCCCTCACAGCTTTGACCTTGCTGCTGGAATGTTCTCTGACACATTTTCAGGTGTCAGCTTACATGTCACCTCCTCAGACAAGCCTTCCCCAACTATCAATGTAAAGAGTCCCACGTACTCCTAGCCCTGACTTTCTGGCCCTTCTTCTGAGCATTTAGCACTGATTTCTGTGCCCGCTGCTTACTGTCCCACAAGAGGGTAAGCTCCACTGGGACAGGCACCGTGGCTGTCCTGTCTTCCCATGCCTTGAAGAGTGCAGTCTAGCCTGGTGGGGGTGACGTCCACCCCTGGGGTCATCAGGGGCCACGGGCTGGGGAGCATAGTGAGGACCCTGACGCTGTTTCTTCCTGTGCCCGGCCAGGTTCTGCAGATCTGCCCCAAGGACATGAGAGCTGACATCTGTGTGCACCTGAACCGCAAGGTGTTCAAGGAACACCCAGCTTTCCGGCTGGCCAGCGACGGCTGCCTGCGGGCCCTGGCCATGGAGTTTCAGACAGTGCACTGTGCCCCGGGGGACCTCATCTACCATGCAGGAGAGAGTGTCGACAGCCTGTGCTTTGTGGTCTCCGGCTCCCTGGAGGTGATCCAGGATGATGAGGTGGTGGCTATCCTAGGTAAGTGTGTTACCTTTGCTGGGCATACACCTCTGGGGCCCAGGGTTGGCTGAGCTACTGAGCAGCTCAGTGCCACTGTGGCCTCCAGCCGGGGAGAGAGTGCTCCTCAGGGCAAGGCCAGTCGCTCGCCTCTATCCAACACACAAGTATTTGAGTGCCTCTGCTGGGCCAGTCGCTGTCTCAGGCACTTGGGGCATTTCAATGACAAAAATGGGTTTTGTCCTCAGTGGGCTCCCAGGCTGCTGGGGGAGAGGAGCAAATAAGCAGCCACTTGCATACAGTGGAAGAAGTATCTAACTCAGTATTCAAGTGTCTGGAAGGCTTCCTGGAAGAAGTGATACCTAAGCTGAAACCTACAGACTGGAGGCGTGAAGGGACAAGGGCGTGTCCTCAGCAGAGGGAAAACACGAGCAAAATCCCTGCAGAGAGAGAGAGCATGATGCATCTGCAGAACTGCAGTGCGTCCCCTCAGCGCGGCCAGAGCAAAATAACGAGAAGGGCCACGGGGAGAGACGAGGCTGGGCGGGAGCTACGTGCTGCGCAGATCATGGCAGGCTCTGGGAGCCACGTTAAGGGACTTGGACTTTACTTTGGGGAGCCAGTGAGGGGTCTAAAGCAGGAGAGAGGCCCAGTCAGATTTGAACTTTAGAAAGATGACTGTAGTTACTGCTTGGGTAGTGACTGCAGGGGGATGGCTGTGGTAGGGAGAGGAGGTTGGAGACATGCTCTCCAGGGGCAGGTGGATGGTGCCCCGAACTGACACTGTGGTGGGCAGATGGAGAGAAGCAAATGGAGTTGACTCACTTAAGAAGTCGAATCAACAAATGGTGGATTTGCTGGGGCTGGGGGCTGGGGAGAGGGAAGAGTGGATGAGGGCTGCAGGATTTCTCACTTGGATAACAAGGAAGCCCGTGTGCCACACACTGAACTAGGGAGTATGGGGGGAGGAGTGGGGTCATGGGGGGACATGTTGGTACTTGAGCCTTTTGAGCATCAGCGGCCTTGAGAGAGTCATCTGATTGCCTGAGGCGGCTACAGAACAGCTCTTTACTGGGGCCATGTCTAGCTCTCCGAAGGGACCAGCCATCAAGTACCAGCCATCATTTTGGTTATCTAGTCAGTGCCAGGCATTTTACAGACATATTTTCATTTAAGCCTTACAGTAAATAAATAAAATATTTAAAAGAGTGATTTTAGGGGCACCTGGGTGGCTCAGATGGTTAAGCGTCTGCCTTCGGCTCAGGTCATGATCCCAGGGTCCCGGGATCGAGTCCCGCATCGGGCTCCCTGCTCTGCGGGGAGCCTGCTTCTCCCTCTGCCTCTCTCTCTCTCTCTCTGTCTGTCACGAATAAATAAATAAAATCTTTAAAAAAAAAAAAAAGAGTGATTTTATTATCCCCATTTTGCAGATGAGACAGTGAAAGCTCAGAGAGGCTAGGGAACTTGCCCAAGGCCTCACAATGCTTGAGATCCATGGGCCAGCATCCTGGAGTCCCTCTGAGTCCAAAACCTCTACTCTGATCCATTTCGCACTACCGCAATCCTAATGATAGTTTATGTAGTTTGCTGGCCCATTAAGTTGCCAGGCACTTTACATACCTATCTTTACATATGATTTCTTAAGAAACTGAGGCAGGGAGAGGTTACATTATATGGAAGTTAGAAGTGAGATTCAAATTAAGTAGCCAAACATACATAGTATACATACACACACACACACACACACACAAAGTCCAAACTTTGTTCCTGTTTGACGTCGGAGTGCATGGTATGCAGCCTTCCTCTTGCTCCCCTGGCCCCAAACCAGCTTGCCCTCTTGACTACATTCTGCTCAGGTTAGCCCAAGGATGATTTATGTTCCTTCAGCATGAGCTGGCTGATGGTCAGTGGGAGCTTGGGATAGAGACTGAGTGTGAGGTGGAGGCTGAAACTGTTCTTTGCTAAAATGAAGGTGTGGATTCCTGCTCTCCATTGAACTCTGCAGACAGGGTTAATCTGTTGCTAGCTGTCCTCATCCGCAGAGAGCTGAGATTAGACTATGTGTAGGAACAGTACACATGAGGGGAACAGCCGTTCCTTTAGCACGGCAGTGCAGGGGCCATTTATCCCTCCCTTTAATCCTCATCGGTGTCCTTGATAAAGCGGACTTTCCATTGGTAATCGCTCTTGGGATATCTACCTGGCTAAGAAGAAAAACCAGTGACTAGTGAGCTCTTCTTTGAGTTGGAATTGGATTGAATTTGAACTGATCCTTTGGTTAAGGGCATCTTTCACCTATCTCCCCTCCCCCCCTTTAAAGATTTTATTTATTTATTTGTCGGAGAGAGAGAGAGCACAAGCAGGGGGAGCAGCAGGCAGAGGGAGAAGCAGACTCCCCGCTGAGCAGGGAGCCCGATGCAGGACTAGATCCCAGGACCCTGGGATCACGACCTGAGCTTAAAGCAGATGCTTAGCTGAGTGAGCCACCCACGCATCCCAGCCCATCCCTCTAATTGATAACTCACCAAATGCCTTTCCAAGGAATCTCTGCTGGTGACCGGCACCATCCCCCTCACATACGCAGTCGCAGGGCATCCTTGATGACCCACCTCACACAGCTGTGTGTTAGGAGTTGGGGTTGGACAGTGAAGCCTGGAGGAAGGACAGAGCTGCAGAGGGCTTGAGGAAGGCAAATGACGGCTTCCCAGCGGGGTCTCATCTCGCCTCAGCCTGGGCTTCTTGCAGGGAAGCCGACCAGGGTTTGAGCCACCGTTGATTTACTTGGTCAGTTGACTGCTTCTGCAAACGCTGCCCTCTGTCTCCGGTCCTCTGCACATCCTGCCTGCTTAGTTAGCAGTGCGGACGGGACCTCGGGAATCACTCAGCAGCTTCAGATTCGGGGCAGTTGTTGCCCTCAAGCTGTCCCGACTAGAAAAAGCAGGAGTGTCCCCAGGAGCCAAATTAGGTCCAAAAAGTAGGTCCAAGCTTGACATCCTAAGAATCCTGTAACATTTCAAGATGCTCTTGTTCTATAAAAGGATGTGAGACAAGTCCTTTGACCTAACTTGACCTCTGGGCCAAGAAGCATAAGATTCCCAGCTATTTGCTCCCTGGAAACTTAAGTTCAGAGTTTTGTTGTTATTGCTTCTTCCTAAATAGAATATCTTTTGCTCAATTTCCTGAAATCCAGTTGTTCGTGCAAAAGGGGTTCAGGTGACAAATGGTTGTTAGAACTAGATCTCTATTGCCTTTTGATGCATCTCAGTTCAAGCCAACCAAAATTTACTGAACACCTCCTACTTACCAGGCACTGTCATAGAATTGGGATTATCAGTGGACCACAGATTAGCCCCCTCCCCTTCCAGGAGCTTCTACAAGTGCAGGAGACTGACACGGTGAAAAAGGCAACAGTCGCACTGGTTGATGAAGTATTACCCCTCCTGGAGGGTCATTGGACAAGTAATTTTTGAGCAGGTGCGGTACTGTATCTAGTGCTCCAACGAGGAAAAAAATGAATAGGCAGGGAATCCTTAGTTATCACAAAGTGGGAGGCTTTAGAATAAAGCCCAGAGCTCATCTGTCGCATTTAGTTGTCTCTCCTGTCTTGTTATCAGTTCGCTCATTTACATTCTGCTAATTTGTTTCTTCCTCCCAGTTCTAAGATTCTGGTTAATTTTAGCACAAGAATGGGGAAAAGAGTCTGTATTCATAACTGAGGGTGTTTAATAAGTGTTAAAAATAGAACACTTTCTAAAAAAGTTTTCTAGGAGAGTGTTTGTCAAACTTTCTTGATTCAACTCACCATAGGAAATGGTATATTGTCTCGTGAACGAATAAACACATGTGCACACGCAGTTATATGTCAAGCTCAGTGCTTAACTCTTGCCGCATGTGATGCAACCTGGTGTTTTCTATTAGATACCATTCTCTTTCGTTTAAAAAGAAATTGACATCATGACTCACTAAATTGCTTTCTTGACTGACGCAAAGCCTGCAGCCTGGTGATGGGTATTGAGGAGGGCACATTCTGCATGGAGCACTGGGTGTTACACTCAAACAATGAATCATGGAACACTACATCAAAAACTAATGATGTAATGTATGGTGATTAACATAATAAAAAATTAAAAAAAATAAAAATAAAAACGGGGTTCCCCCAACGTCAACAATACCTCTCTTGGACTGCAAGCCTTGCTGGCCCCTGAGGGCAGAAACTACACCTGGATCATCTCTTATGATCTCCTTTTCCTCTGATGTTCTTTGCCTTATGTGTGAGAGGACACCTTTCCAATCTCCTTTCAAATTCTCTTCAAAATCACTCATGTCGAGGGATGGGGTGACTGGGTGATAGACACTGGGGAGGGTATGTGCTCTGGTAAGCGCTGTGAATTGTGCAAGACTGTTGAATCTCAGATCTGTACCTCTGAAACAAATAATGCAATATATGTTAAGAAAAAAAAAAAAAGAAGAAGAAGAAGGTAGCGGGAGGGGAAGAATGAAGCGGGGGAAATCGGAGGGGTAGACGAACCATGAGAGACGATGGACTCTGAAAAACAAACAGGGTTCTAGAGGGGAGGGGGTGGGTTAGTCTGGTGGTGGGTATTGAGGAGGGCACATTCTGCATGGAGCACTGGGTGTTGTGCACAAACAATGAATCATGGAACACTTCATCTAAAACTAATGATGTAATGTATGGGGATTAACATAAGAATAAAAAAAAAAACAAGGGAAAAAAAATCACTCATGTCTTTTCAAATTTAGTTTCTCGGCTCTTTGAAGTAAATTCAAGCCTTCAGCATGTGCATTTTATTCATTATATTTTTAAAGGAATTTTCTTCCAATTGGTGATAGCTATCAGAATAAAAAGGCATAGGTACCCATTTTGACCCCACCCAAGTGGTGGAGATGCCCACATACCTGCAAGTACGTTCTTATCTTGGTTCTGTGACACTTGACCAAAGTAGAGGAGTCACGGACTTTCCTCAGGGCTCTGCTTGAGTGTAGTCCATCGTCCTGCATTT